AGGATCCCAAAAAACACAACTAGAGCCTAACAACTTATTCCTATGCTGATAATTGCTGGGTACACTGAGAAGTTTCTTTGCAGTTCTGCGAATCTCTGTACTGGAGGAGGTTTCTGAGCTGTTACTTTTTTGGGCTGGTAGCTGCTTTTTCGTCTGCTTAAATTATTTGATGAGGTAACAGCACTTTTACAAGATGGTGGTTTAGACTCTTCGGTCCAGCTCTGAACGTCTATAACAGCATTAAAGAGATGTTCCACTAATTTAAATAGTTTTGCATAATTAAGTGGTTTAATGTGAAATGGTTCACTGTGGGGAAAACCTCACGTTTCTTTACGGCGCTGGTGACACAATCTTGATGGTAAAATAGTGGTGAATCTGAAAAGTTTTCTTTGGGGGCTATTTTGCCCCAGTAACACCCTTCGTGTTCCTCTCTGCCATGAATGGCTTTTGAAATTAGGTCAAAACCTTCTCCGAAGCATCATAAAACAATCAGGCAACATATTCATAATCATTCAGGTATATTAACTCTCTGTGAGGGAGCTTTTAAAGGGCATTAAACTCTTCAGACGTCTGGTTCCCATGACTACCACTGTGAACTATTCCGACTTGGTAGAAACAGCACATTTCATAGTAATCGTCTCTGAATGATTTTGTTCATAGTCTGCATTTACATGTATACTAATGCAGAAATTTGGTAAAAACTTTGCAAATCTCCTTTAAGGGAATGTGTGCGGTTGTCGTTCTCATAGAATGAGATGATCCTCTGTGTGAGATGACAGGCGTTTCTGAATTTCCCACTTCAAACTCAGGCAGGATTAGCAGAAACGGCTGCTTTACTCTTGCATGCGGATCAGCACGCTGTGTGTGGAGTGCTTCTGTGAGAAAAGCAGTGTAAGACTTGGGGGAAATCATTATTGCTGAATTAGTTTTTTCAGGTGTTCTTGCTCATTTTGATCAAATTGCACATTTCAGCACATACATCTGTTTGTTCATTAAATCTGCTTTGATTTGTGTTTTGCAGAAAAGATTGAAAAGTTTGGCCTAATCGCTTTCTGTGACAATCTAACCAAATTCCATCATGCAATACCAAAAATACTGTATAGAGTTGGGCAGCATGACTGTATCATTACTATGATAAATTGATTCACAATATGGGATAATATGCTTTTCTGAGCGTATAGTGGATATTGTCAGTGCTTAAAAACACTTGCCTGACTGCTTGTTTGATTGTTTTGATTTTTTAAACATGGTACTACTTTCTGTAGTGTCATCGTGTATCGTGAAAATGTGAAAAAAAAGTCTTGTGATATTACATTTTTGCCATATTGCCCACCTCTACTATGTAATATTTAATGTGAAATGTTGCATATTGCATTTCTTGATGGTGACTTTGGACCGAAGTTGGTTTATTTAATCCAGTCATTTTTAGGGATGCAACAATACAGGAATTGTTGCCAAGATCCAATATCTTTCATGTACATGTTTGCAGATGCTGATACATCAACATTTTTAAAAATGTTTCAGACACGCCCTGCTAAACACGAGCAAAACAGGCTGTAAAAAAATCTTTATTGCTTATCCTTTTGATCTTTCATTCAGTATTAACAAAAATCTAACCTCTATTTTAAGTATAGTGATTAAAAATAACCCTGAATCTTATCAGGAAATAAGTATTTTTCTCAAATCTGTTTGTGCCACAGTTGTTGGTGCTTTCTCATTCAATACTTTGTGCAGCTCCCTTCGCAAAGATAACAGCTCTGAGTCTTCTCCTGTCAGCTTAATGAGACTGGAGAACACATGGCAAAGGATCTGAGACCGTTACTCCATACAGAACCTATACAGAACCTTAAGATTCTGAGGTCTACACTGTGGACTCTCTTCTTCAGCTCATCCCACAGGTTTCCTATGGGGTTTAGGTCAGGGCACTGGGATGGCCATTGTAAAAGCGTAATTTTGTGATCAGTGAATTTTAATTTTGGGTTTGTTTATTTATGGATTGATTGATTCAGGCGTGCTTTGGATCATTGTCCAAAACTAGACAAGATCCAAACTATGGCCCAATTTAAACTTCCTGGCTGAGACAGTCAGGTTTTGATTTTATTTCTGCTGGTACTTGATGGAGTCTGTGGTAACATGTGTCCGAATAGCTTGTCCAGGGCCTTTGGAAGAAAAATAGCCCACAGTATCACAGATCTGCCACTATACTTCACATTGGGGGTGAAGTAATTTTCTGCATGGCTATCTTTGTCCACACCAAATTCATGGTCTAACTTTTTGTCCAAATTTTGGTCTAACCTGACCACAGAAATACTAAATAGACTAAATACTAATAGACTAAAAGTTTCAGTATTGTTTGGCAAACTGTAGGCACTTGAGTTTGTTGGTCCTTGATAGCAGAGTACCCCTTCTAGCAACCCCCGAAACAACTTGTGTTTATATAGGTGGTGTCTGATTGTGGTTTGGGAGACGTTCTGACCCCAAGACCTATCTAACGTCTACAATTCCCCATCTGTGATCTTTGGAGACTCTTTGTCCGCTCAAACCATCCTCCTCATTGTGTCTGTGGTCAGTATAGACTGAATCCTCTTCCCGGCAGATTCTCAACATCTCCAGATGTTTTAAACTTCTTCATTTTTGACCCGATTGTTGAAATTGGCATTTTCAGCTGTTTAGCTATTTTCCTGTAGCCATTTCCTGATTTGTGCAGCTCAGTAACCTTTTGTCGTACATCACTGCTGTTTTCTCTGGTCGTTTCTCATAACGATGGATGTATGAGGGCATTTGGCCTGCTTTTCATCTCATATATTCCCCAGTGAATCAGGAAGTCATAGCTAATCGTTTATGTTCCTAATCACTCAGGTGAACTGAAAAACATAAATTATGAATGGGCGTATACTTCAGCTAGATTTCACTCTTAATTTCTAGGTGTGCCAACAGTTAGATAGATATTTAAGATTTTGATAGATTTAAGAAAATTATTGCGTGACCAGATTAAATTTTTTCTATCAGTGTTCTTTAAATAAAGGTTAGATTTATCCTAATATTTGAATTAAAGACTTTTTCACAGTTTATTTTGCTCATGATTACCATGGGGTACCTATTTGTGTTGAGGGCACTGTTGAAATTAGGATATATTTATCTGGATTAATATTAGAGATCTGTAACAATTTATGTAGGGTTACGAATGCAGTAAAACATATAGAGTACAGAACCTCTAGCGTAGTAGACCAGCATCACCTACACAGTCTGTTCTTTTCAATACAATAAATACGTCACATATCAGTTTGAAATATCTGATTAATCTAAACTAGGGATGCATTATGATAATCATATCAGCATCAGCTGGATAATTGCTTAAAAATGATCAGCATCAGGTGCGCATTTATGTTTGACTGATATTTCATACTGATATTTGATGTATTTGTTGAGTTCCAGAAGAGCCGAATGTTCAGCCAATGCTGAAGTACTGCACTAATATATCTGGATGTTATTTTTATGGTACTTCATTTATAATCCTCTCGAAAATATCTACCTGGAATGCGAATCCAAGTACATCTAGTCCTAATTTCATGTGTGTTCACCTTGGGAGATACAGTATTGTGCAAAAGTTTAAACTTCTGGGAAAAATTTAGATTTAAAAGGCAATTTAATTTATCAGTAAGCATTTATTTGCTTAGAAAATCACTAATATTACAGTTTAAAACTACAATTGAAAATAATATTAATGCAGTAAGTGGTTATTTTATGCGTGTCTCTGTTTGTTTAACCAGTTCCAAACCTCTCCTCATGGCAGTCCAGGATTATTTGTAGTTATCATCCCACACGTAGTTTGGTTAATCAGTACATTGATATGTTAATCAATCAGCTGGTAATTGAATTTACTAAATCTGTGTGATGGCTGGAGGCATCCAGGAGAAACCTGGAACAAAACATTGTTCTTTAATCAGCTCACATGATATTAATTTTGTCAAAATAAGGCATTCTTTTTACTTTTTAACGATATTTATTTTTGCATTTATTCTAATGATATATGGTGTTTTTACAAATGACTGCTGAGAGAAATGGTTTTAAACAATGTGTTTAGTTGTCAAATACTTGCACAGTACTGTAAATTCAAGGTGGGAGGGATCTGTTATTGGTATTGGCCTATAACAACATGGTCAAATATCTGACGCTGATAACTTTTTTGTTTTGTTTTCAAAAGCAATTATTTGCTGATACCAATATGATTCAGATATCCTTGTGCATCCCTAGAAATGTTACGTATGTTTAATTGTACTCATTCATTCAGAATTGAGCTTTGAGTGAAGTATTGGAGATTATGCTTATGATATTTTCAGTCCAGTATTTATATTTAAAAATGAATACATTCTTTTGTTCATTTGTTCTGTTACTTTCATGGTCATTTTATTTAAGCATCATTCAGTGAACTTTTAAACAAATCCTTCCAGAGCGAATTTGTTAAAAGGTTTGTTCTGACTACAGTCTGTGTCAGATTTTCTCTTGTGGGCTGACACAAATGTGTTAAAGGAATGATTTAAGGGTTAAATAATGATTTGATGGGGAGTGTCTGGTGCCAAATGACACAAATAACCCTGCTTATAAGACTGCCTTCCCCCATTTCCACCCGTTTGGATTTATGTTCATACTTAGTGTGTGTTATGCATATTTTAATTCCATCCATATTTGAGATTCACATGCCAACTTGCCTTGGTAGAATTGAGAGTACCCCCTCACCCCACTGCTGCCTGGTCATTTGGTCCCACCATATACAATTTGACCACTGTATATTCATATCTTTAGCTGTTCCTTCATTCTTTTTAGTTCATGTATCGTCTAATAGGTCATCTTAACATGCATTCATTTATTTGTTCATTTACACACATGCTTATTTATTTATTTATTTATTCATTCATTTGTTATTGTTTTGTCTCCTGTAGCGCGTGTGTGTGTGTGGTGTGTGTGTGTGTGTGTGCGCATCCCTGTGTGTTGTGGTGGTGATGCAGTCTCTGTGGCTGATGGATTCCTCGTTGCCCGGGTTACAGGATGGCCTCCCCCGCCTTCCCTTCAGAGAGAGACTGATGGAGGCACTGAGCCTTGGCAAACACCGCCATTACTACATTTCCCAAAATCCATTTCACCACCACCCTCAGCAGCAGGAGGAGAAGAGGGAGGATCTGTGCCTGGGCTGCACTGAGCATGTCCCTAGGGTGCGCTCCCCCTCCCTTCCCGTCTCTCTCTGCAGAGCGAGGGATGATGAGCAGACGGAGGGGGGAGGGAGCGAGAGTGATAGCGAGAGCCTGCCGTTCTTCTCTTTCGCTTCATCCTCCTCTTCCTGTCCACTGCTCTCTTCAGCAGACGAGAGCGTATTGTGGCGTTCGATCAGCTGCTCCTGGAACAGACACAAACGCACACACACGCTCTGCGGCAGGCATGGCCTGAGCTCACACATCGCCATGGGCAACCAGGATGGAAAGCTGAAGCGCTCGGCTGCCGCGGAGGATGGAGAGATCGCGGCGGAGGAGTGCGGCCCCCTCCGAGACACGGCCGATGGCACAAAGAAGGGATTTCATGGCAAGAAATCCAAGCATGGCAAGGGAGGAGACAGTGGTGGAGGAGGAAAAAGGAAAGCCAAGTCCGAGTCCAAGTCCTCCGTCTTCTCCATCCGCAAACGCAAGAATCTGGCCAAGGTGAAGGGCCTGCTGAGTGGCTCGAAGGAAGATGCTCTGGACTCGCAGCATGACGAGCTGGACAGCGCACCATCCCTTTGCAACAAAACACCGGATCTTTCAGCTGACGAGCTTGGCCAGTCTGACGCCGAGGGAGAGAGACCCCTTATCCTCTCGCAAAACTGCCGACAAGAAACGCAGGAAACGTTGGCAGAGGAGAAGAAGGGCAGCTCTGGATCTGATACGGACATCTACAGCTTCCATTCGGCGGCGGAACATGAAGATCTGCTGGCGGACATTCAGCAGGCCATCAGGCTTCAGCATCAGGGAGTTGCAGGTTCACCTGGAGTGGAGCAGCTGGCCTGGGGGAAGGATTGGAAACAAAACGGCCTCAGCGAGGAAGCGAAAAGCAGCCCGACACCTGACTCTGAGGCATTTACTGTGCTGGAGGCTCTGCATAGACGAGAAAATGGCCTGAATTTGCACCTTGAACTTGCTAAGGCTACTCCAGATGAGAGGGAGGGAGAGAAAGAGAAGGAGAGAGGGCCGGAGGAGAGGGAGAAGGCACAAGAGGAAAGTGTCAATGGAGAGTTTAGCAGCTCAAGCCCGGACCTTTGTACTGCTCCCGTCTCCGTGGCAACCGGGACAAAAGAGCAGGAGACAGCCGAGGCTCCGGCAGCCCCCTCAGTTATCGAGGATGTGGAGAGGAAGGCCGTCACCACGACGACCAGCGTCACCAGCTTCCCCGACCTCACGGCCTCCTTCGAGAGTGCAGTGGAGGCCACGGAGGAAAATGAAGTGAATGGCCTGCAATTTCCAGCCCAGGAGGAAATAGATGGTTTGGATTTTCCATATTCTGGCAAGGAGGAGAACGGGCAAACCTCGGATACACTGTCCGAAGGTGAAGGACTAGAATCTTCTGCTGATTCTCTGGAGTGTGTTGTGCCTGCCGTGGACTTGCCGGCTGACAGAAACGAGGAAGAGGAAGAAGTCCAGGTGATCCAAAGGAGGAAAAGTAGCGTTTCGTTTCCGCATTGGGTCCAGCAAGAAAGTCCTCTGGCCACTCGGCTTCTGAAATCCAGCATCCCGGCTTCGTCCATGAGTCCTGCGGTCAAACCATACCCTCCCATCCACCCATCCTACATCAAAACCACGACCCGTCAACTCAGCTCTCCCTCCTGCTCTCCTGCCCCCTCGCCATCCCACAGCCCACGCTTCCCACGCCGTTCCCGAGGTGACTCCTCGGCGACCATTGCCAGGGCAGAACGAAGAAGGGTCAAGCGCCAGCGTTCCTACAGCATCACTGGACCCATCAGCCGCTCCGCCGACTGGACGGAAGAGCTCCGGCCACTGCCTCCCAAAACTGGGTCTGAGGATTACCTAGAGTATGGAGGCTCAGAGGGGACACTCGGGGCAGAAGGGACGTGCCTGGGTGCTTATCGCAGAGCTTCAGCTGGACAGGCCTCTACCTGCGGCTTTCAGGATGTATTTACAGGTGAGCCAGAGTCTCTTTTGACATTGTCTTAGTTTTTCTATCTATTTACCAACAACAAAACTCGTTATTTTTTTTAAAATTGGTTAATCTTTCTATTGGTATACAAATAATAATCAACTGATTAGTGTTATGCTTTCTGTGGCTTCTTGCCATTTGCTGCTGTCATTGAAAGTTCCATCATGCTGTTAGTAATTGAACTTGACATGATGCCGATTCAACACCACATATTGTTCTTGGGCTAGTATCAGCAGAAAATGCTGGATGGTGTATTGGAGTGAAAAAACAATGAATGTGGTCCAGTCCTGTAACAAATCTGTCCTGAAATGGCACTCACTAATTTTAGCTGTGTAGTTCTCCCTGAGGGATAGATGAGTGATGGCTTATCTTTAGATAACAATCTTGCCTTAACCTTCAGTTAAAAACAGCTCAAAACAGCCCTAAAGCTTAGTAGTTTTGAGAGTATATCGCTATACACTCAAGAATTCAATATGGGATGTACCGATACGGGAATTATATGCTGATGCCAGTATCTGATATTTGTTGTGTACGTATCTGCTGATATTGATGCCGATAGACAAACATTATTGGGACTAGATACACCTGGATTAGAGTTACAGAGAGAGAAAACCTTTTGTTTTTGTAGGGTTTGAAAGGTAGTGAAATGAATAAAACATAATTTAGTATAGTAACCCCTAAACGTTCTGGTCTTCTAGAGCATTTTTTCCCAACCCTGCTCCTGGAGTACCTCCTGCCCTGCTCATTTTAGTGTTATCCTTGCTACCAATACATCTGATCCAACTGATAAGCTCACTTAACAAGCCCATTCTGAGTTGAAGTGGGTGTGTTGGAGCAGAAAAACACTAAAATGTGCAGGATGTTCAGTTAGGAGCCACTGTCCTAGAGTGCAATCCAATCATCATCAAACATTGTACAGCCTAATATTTTTGATCTAGTTATTTGCTGCTGACCTACCAGTTGTTCGCTGAACATAATGTTTTGTGTAATGTATTTGCTGTAGTACTGTGTTTCTCAGTGCTGGTCTGAAGGGGTACCTGGGGTATATTTTAGTGCTTTCTCAGCTCTATATTGTTTGTAAGGCCCATAAGGAGCAGCTTGGATCTATGAGCTTGCATTAAATTTATACCAGCGTTATATTTCAGAAAAAAAAGTCTAGAACATTTCGATTTGAGAGGTTTTAGAATTGTGGATAGATTTATTTAGATTTTAAATGTGATGAGCTCAGAGCTTCATTCAGCCACTATAAACAGGGAAGCTGGTGGAGTGAGGAATGATGGGAGATGTCACTCTGGGCTTCATGCTGATGCTGGAGAACAGCACCGAGCAGCCAGAGAAACTGCGACTCAGCTTGTTTCTGAGGGTGTGAATCAAAAGAAGGTGGCGTGTGTGAACAGAAATAGTCTGAATGTACAAGTGAGAGAAATAAGGGAAGAGAAGGGAGGTGGAGTAAAGAGAATGTTGGAGTAAATCAGAGTGAATGAATTTGTTTGTTTAGCTGTGTTTCAGCCTTCATTCCCTCAGTCTCTGTTTTTTCTCTTTCTCTTTGTCCATCTGAGCCTCTGTGTCTGTCTCTTCTTGTCACTGGCCTTTGTGTATGTGATTAACAGTGCAAGAACTGTCACACTGCAGGACACTGAATTAAACTAACTAAACTTCCTGAAAAAGTGTTTCAGCTACTTCACGGTACAGTCAGTGCTTTTAAGGAAACTTTACAACGTAAGTTAATGAGTTTAATCTTCTGCAGGGCATTATTTGGAGTCTTTGTTTGGAGACTTCCTCTTGGTTACATTGGCCCTCATTCACCAACCGTTCTTAAGAAGACGTTTTTTTTTCTTAAAAGTCACTTGTACATTTTTCATGAAGATTCTTATATTCAATTTTGTCTTATTTGGGATTTGTTCTTGGGTAATAACAATCTACACACACTCAAGAACACAAAGGAGTGAAAAATTCTGCAGTTTAGAAACGCATCATAAATCTGACAGACTTTCTCTTAGGTCCTTTGTCAATAACACATTGAAGAAGAAACTTAGGAAGATATGGGAGAACAAGGCTCATTGATCGGAGGGTCATGATACAACTACATCAATTTTTGGAATATTTAAAGTGATTTATAATACAAGGTGATTCAGAAAGATTCATCTGATTTCAAAATGATTTATTTCACTTGTAAATCATTACAGAACAATGCAGTAAACTGTAGATGGGTTAATTGAGCATAAAGTTTATGTAGTTTTACAAGGTGCTCAATATGAACCTCCTCCAGCTGTACAGACAACATCAACGCCATAGTCAAATTCATCCCATGCTCGATTGAGCATGTCGGGTGTCGCTGCACTCACGGCTCTTTCAGTGCGATTTCGGAGATCATCCAGTGTTGTGGAACCAACGACGAACGCTCTGAGCTGTTGGAGGTTCACTGCCGACGAAAATCACGTTGCACAGTTATGACTGATTCACTCTTATTGAAGTGGAGAACGCAGAACGCTTTCTGCTCAGGGGTCTCATCTCCTCTCAGACTGAAGGGAGCCATCTTCTGGTGACAGTCAGAAACTCTATGACCCTCTCTTTCAATTGGTATGTGATTGGTTCCTAGGCACCTCACAGTAGTAAAAATATGGTGCTTTGAAATTGAATAAATGTTTTTGAATTACTATGTATTCCAAAAAGGATTTTTCCGAAAAGCGTACATCATTGTAGCTACAAAATCACTCATCTCACTTTTAACCAGAGTCCTGCCTTTTACATCAGTAGGCACAGATGTTTAGGGGTAAAGACTGAAGAATGGTTCGGATTTTCTTGGCATTTTTTCCACAGTATTGAATTTGGATTCATCGATATCGATACTTGTATTGGGTATTGGCCTGATAACGTTGACAACTGATAATGCTCATTTATTCATACTTGAGGTTATAAAAATACGCTGATAGCATGTAATGTAAGCTTAGTTAGTGTAAACCGAACAAATGACTCAAGGTGGAAGCAAGCAAGGGTCTGCTCACAAAAGGAAGTGTTTGTGATCCTGTGGTGGTCGGGCACAAAGTCGTTGGTCACTGTAAACATTCCACCTTCGCATTGTATTCCCAACAGGAATTCAGTGTGATTTTTTTTCGCCCGTTTTTAAACACACACAAACATAATGACAGCCACGTCCCCAATATGGATGGAGACACACAGGCGAGCAGAAAGGGAGGCAAAAAGTCAACGTTTGCTACCCAAGTCCGTCTATGCCGACTTTACTCTGTTTGACTGAATAGAAATGCTAGGTATAAAGAGAGACCGTGTGGTCAAACCTTGTATACACTGATCAGGCATAACATTCTGACCACCTCCTTGTTTCTATGCTCATTGTCCATTTTATCAGCTCCACTTACTATATAGGTGCACTTTGTAGTTCTACAGTTACAGACTGTAGTCCATCTGTTTCTCTGCATACTTTGTTAGCCCCCTTTTACCCTGTTCTTCAGTGGTCAGGACCCCCATGGACCCTCACAGAGCAGGTACTATTTGGGTGGTGGATCATTCTCAGCACTGCAGTAACATTGACGTGGTGGTGGTGCGTTAGTGTGTGTTGTGCTGGTCTGAGTGGATCAGACACAGCAGTGCTGCTGGAATTTTTAAACACTGTGTCCACTCACTGTCCACTCTATTAGACACTCCTACCTTTTCAGTCCACTTTGTAGATGTAAAGTCAGAGATGATGGCTCATCTGCTGCTGCACAGTTTGTGTTGGTCATCCTCTAGTCCTTCATCAGTGGTCACAGGACGCTGCCCACAGGACGCTGTTGGCTGGATATTTTTAGTTGGTGGACTATTCTCAGTCCAGCAGTGACACTGAGGTGTTCGAAAACTCCAGCAGCACTGCTGTGTCCGATCCACTCATACCAGCACAACACACACTAACACACCACCACCACATCAGTGTTACTGCAGTGCTGAGAATGATCCACCACCCAAATAGTACCTGCTCTGTGAGGGTCCATGGGGGTCATGACCACTGATGAACAGGGTAAAAGGGGGCTAACAAAGTATGCAGAGAAACAGATGGACTACAGTCTGTAACTGTAGAACTACAAAGTGCACCTATATAGTAAGTGGAGCTGATAAAATGGACAATGAGCGTAGAAACAAGGAGGTGGTCAGAATGTTATGTGCAGTTAAAAATGCCTGATCGGTGTATGTCTGTGCACAGTGTGGTTAGCCTAGCTGTTGTAGCTCAGTTTCTCACCATGTTTGCTCAGTACTGGGTGCACAGCATATTATTTTGAATGAAACCTTTATTTGAAATTCATAGAGCTGTCTGTAGGGGCTGCGTTTCACGTAGCATGTCAGTTGGACAGTGTTTTCTTACAGTGTGAGCTTATAAATCATAGGTTTTATTTGTACACAATGGTCTATTCAAACGTAGCGTGGACCAGCCAATCAAGATATGTAAAATTTGAAAAGTGAGCTATTGCTGCTGTCACTGTGCTACAGAGACTGTTGTTGAAAGAAACTGACGAGGAGCATCAGAACAAAACTATGAAACATATTTTACGTACAGCTGTAGAAGTGCTTTTCTGATGTGGAGCAAAATCCATTCTTCTCCACTGCAACGCTACATGATCCAAGATAACTAATTTAATATAGCAGGCTAATGCACGTCATTTAAATCAGCTAGATTTTAATTGTTGTATTGTTAAGGCACAGTGCACTCATTTACACTAACTACTTAATTCTAAATAGGTAATTCATTGCGGTGTCAGACTCTGTATCAGCGAGTACTTAATATGTATTCGTAATCATACTCGATCTGAAAAAATAGTATTGATGCTTCCCTAATATTGAAAGACTGTGTCTGTACCACAGTGAGCAGCTCACTGTAGGAGCTAGGATGGTTCAGTTAAGTTCCTACAGTCTACAGAAACAGTAGAGCAGGGTGATGCTGTATTTGTCCTGGAAAAAAAAGTCATTCTGTGCCTTTACAAAGTCTGTGACTTTAC